TTTGTATATGACTTTTAAATTTTAATATTTTGTGACAAGGTTAATAAGACATTTAGTAGTTGAATCTTTAAACAATGTTAATTTTTATACTTTTTATCAGGATCAAAGATAAAAACACATATAAATACCAATGTTCAAATTTTATACACGGAATCTATGGTTTTTTAACAATATGAAGATTGTATAAGTTAATTTAATTTTAAGGAAAATTATTGTAACATTGAAAATGACCCGATCGGCGTCGAAACGTCTGAAGATGTATTAATATATGAATTAAAATAATTCGTTAAATTAATTTGGCTCTACGCCCTAGTTATATTTTTATATTGTTTTATACATATTGAACCTTCTTATTAATTTTTATTTTTTAAATTTTTATAAAGAAAGGTTTCATTTAATAAAAGTTGCAATATCGATTATTTTTTTCTATTTTTCCCATATATCCTTCATACTGATAAATCGACAATGCTTATAACATCCGTAATATTGACAAATTTTTAATTATTAAATAAAAATATGTTCCATAATGTAATAATGTTATAAAATTAAAAATTATTTTTTTAATATTTATATATATAATATAATTATAATACTCCATAATGTTATTTTTTTAATGTTCATACGATATTACAATAATATTATTTAAAATTATTTTTAACAATCATATATGTTTGAGATCGTGAGAGTGATAGTTTAACGCAGTAATGCGAGAAATAAAATCAATGCGTTTAAATATCAGGTTTTAAAGACGATGATAATTGTCGTTGATTTCGCATGTGTAGAATAAACATATTCTCGATATTCTTATGTTATAAGACAACCTTCACTAGGTTTTCCTTTGTTGTCTGTAACTAGAGGAAGATTTGTTTTATACACGCATCGCGTCAGCTGTTAACGGCCGGTCGATTGGCAACGAGCGGTGATTTCGCGCGAGCGCACCGCTAAAGGAAACGTCATGCACGGCCACGAATCACGTCGAGGAGATTTCGGTCGTGCATGACTAATACCATTCTCGCAAGGAGAGAGGACTCGAATTGCCAATCGCTCTTGTCAGCTCGATGTCACCTCTGGCTTTTAAATTTTGGCAATTTCAATTGGCAGTAATCTCTGAGAGTCTTTGTCTCGAGAGATGATGCATGCGCTAACGAACTTTCCGACTCACTTCTTGTCCTTTCTTTGAAAGCATAACACCGCCGAGAAAATCGCCGAGAAAACCGCCGCGCCGTAAGAAAATCATCGTGGTGCGCTCTCGTACATTTTCTGGTCCTTTGAACCGGATCTCGCGCCGACAATCGCGATATCGGGAGTTTCATCTTGGTGTTCAGTGCACAGTGACTGCCAAGAACAGAGTGAGTGAGTCATGAGCATGGATCTGCAGACATTACTGACAGCCCAAAGCGACATTCACGGTTGCATGGCTCGGTCGGTTCTGAATTTGAAGAAGTTAGGCGAAGGCAATATCACACTGCACGCAACCGAGACGCGCATCGTCCTCCTTGACAAACTATGGTCGAAATTCGAAGCGCAGCACGAGCTCATACGAGGATACCTTAAAGAAACGTTCGACGAGAGTGAGTACAATTCGTCCGGATTTGCCGACTCGGCCGAAAATACCTACGTGCAACAGCGAAGCCTTCTCAATGAGTACGTGCAGCAACTTAAAACTTCAAGACCGAACTCTCCGTCAGTTCCAGAGTTCGGTACCGAGCTCTTCAATAAAACCTTTTTGCCTCGTTTAAAAATTCGCTCATTTTCGGGTGCATTTGAAGACTGGCCGACATTCCGAGACATTTTCAAATCCATAGTCGGAGACAATGCATCGATTTCAGCAGTGGAAAAATTTCATCATTTGAAGGCATGTCTGGAAGGGCCCGCCGAAACATTGATACGACCTTTGTCAGTAACCGGGGATAACTATCCGCGAGCATGGGCTTTATTAAGCAAGCATTACGAAAATAAAAGAGAATTAGCGCGCTCCAATTTTTCCACATTCGCAGCCATGGCAAAAATGAAGTGCAACACCGCCGAAGAGCTTAACCGCATCTATCACGTTGTGACGAGTGTTGTGAACGGCCAGGAGAGCATAGGAAGGACGATCAATTCGCACGGCTTTGACCCTTTCAACCATCTCGTCATTGAACTCTTCGATACAAAGATGCGTCTTGAATGGGAAACGCATTCCAGCACCTCCAACGAATTGCCATCTCATGAGACACTGCTAGATTTTATAAGTAAGAGAGCACTCACGCTCAACGCCGCGAAACCAAAATCGAGCAAGGTCTCCGGAGACTCTACGCGACCCGCGAAAGCGCATTACGCGAAGCGCAACGCCGACTCGCCGCAGTGCTCTTGTGCAAGGGCAAGCTTGCATTACAATGTAATGATGTGCGAGAACTTCAAAGAAAATCCGCTACAGAACGCAAAGCCGTCGCCGAAACTCATCGATTGTGCTTCAACTGCTTAGGTTCTCATCCCATAGCAAAGTGTCAATCGGTGAAAACGTGCATCACATGCAAGTCACGACATCATTCGCTGCTTCACGATGCATACTGTTCGCCGAAGCCCGCCGAAGTCAACTCACTAGCTGCTGTATGCCATGACGAGGACCACAAGGCGATCCTGCTCGCAACCGCTCGAGTATCCATCGCTGACCGCTTCGGAAATCAACAGGCAATTCGCGTCTTGATTGATCAAGGCTCAGAGGTATCTTTGATTTCAGAAAGACTAGTTCAGCGGCTGCATTTGTCTCGATCTCGATCCAACGTTGAGATTTTTGGCATCAGTGGCAGTCGCTCAAGGCCAAGCCGAGGCAAGGTGACTCTCAGGGTGTCCTCCCTGGTGAATGAGACAGAATTCACGCCGTCACATTCATTCTGCCGCGCCTGTCCTTATATCAAGGCGCAAACATGAATCACGGAATTGAGTGGCCTCATCTAAAGGAAATTCCGTTGGCCGATCCAGAATTCATGGCCAATGATCCAATAGAGCTGCTCTTTGGAGCAGAAGTGTGCTCCTTCATTCTTCAGGAAGGTCTTCGAAAGGGGGGCCCCCGAGCTCCCGTTGCACAAAATACGCTTCTTGGATGGATCGTGTCTGGAGGCTGCGATGGAGCCACGACGGGAGGAAGACATCGTTCGTTTCAGTGTACCGCCGATGACGAGCTGGCCAAGCTTGTGCAACTTTTTTGAGAGCAAGAGCGAGAAGTACCCGCCCCCGTAGCTCTCACTCCCAGTGAGCAGCGATGCGAGGACATCTTTGTTCGCTCTCATCAACGAACTGCTGATGGCAGATACGCAGTGCGACTGCCGTTTGCCTCATGGCCGACGACTTTCCTCGAGACTCACAAATCCGCCGAGCACCTCTTGACAGTCATGGAACGACGCTGTGACCGCGATCCTCGATTTGGAGAACTTTACCACACCTTTCTACGAGAATACGAGGAGTTGGATCACATGGAGTTGCTTCAGGACTCGCAGTACTTCAATGCCCAGCGATGCTACCTACCTCATCATGGGGTGCTTAGAGAGTCAAATACCTCAACCAAGCTGAGAGTAGTCTTCAATGGGTCGCAGCGCACAAGGTCGGGTGAGTCACTCAATTCGCAGCTGTTAACAGGCGTCAATCTACTGCCGTCCCTCGCGGACATGCTCATGCGCTGGCGTTGGCATCGCTACGCGCTCGTGACGGACATCGAGAAAATGTATCGTCAAATTCGCGTTCTTCCGGAAGACCAGGACTATCAGCGCATCCTCTGGCGGCACAGTGTAGCTGATCCTGTTTGAGAATACAAGCTGAAGACTGTCACATATGGTCTGGTCTGCGCTCCATTTCTCGCTATTCGCACGCTTCGTCAACTCGCCGACGACGAAGAGTCTCACTTTCCGCGGGCTTCCGCTGTCTTGCGACGCGACTGCTACGTCGACGATATCGTAACGGGAATGCACAACAAGTTGGAAGCAATCGCGCTGCAATCCGAACTCTGCCGACTCTGCATGCCGGGCGGGTTTCCACTACGCAAATGGGCCGCGAGTTGTCGCGATCTTCTTAGCGGAATTCCACCAGAGCACTGCCTTAACAAAGATTCGCTTTCATGGGAGCACGACAGTCATGCGACGCTGGGATTGCGGTGGTATCCCGCCAAAGATGAGTTTGCCTTCATCATTCGGCTCAATACAATCGCCATGTACACGAAAAGACGCGTACTCGCGGAAACGGCTCGACTCTTCGATCCGCTCGGATGGCTGACTCCGGTTGTGATTCAGGCAAAAATTCTAATTCAATCTGCCTGGTTACAGCAAATAGAGTGGGACGCACCACTTTCACAGACAGACGCGCAGCAGTGGCAGCGTCTCTTCGAAGAACTTCCGTGTCTTGAGCAAGTCCGCGTTGGCCGCTGGCTGGGAAGCGGCGACTCAAATTCGAACGTGGAACTCCACGGCTTCGTCGATGCATCCGAGCGAGGATATGCCGCCGTGGTTTATCTCCGCATCAGCACCGCCGGTGACGTCGCAATCCGCCTACTTGCTAAAAGCAAGGTTGCGCCAATCAAGCCTGTCTCGCTTCCTCGGTTGGAGCTCAGCGCTGCCGCGCTTTTATCGAATCTCGTCACTCACATACGCAATGTGTTAAGCTTGTCCACAGCACCTGTCACGCGATGGTCTGACTCCAGAGTCGCGCTTTGTTGGATTCAGGGTCATGCCTCTCGATGGAAGACGTACGTGGCTAACCGGGTATCTCAAATACAGCAGCAGCTTCCTGAGGCACGATGGCGCCACGTCCCGGGGAAGGATAATCCAGCCGACTGCGCCTCTCGAGGCATTACGCCAACCGACCTCATCAGCAAGGCCGGCGACTATGGTATGGAGGGTATGGAGCACTCCATACCCAAAGACTTCTGGGTGTGGAATTTCCATACCCAGAATCATGAGGAATCCTTTATCCGAAATTTGGGGAAAAAATTAAACTTTAATTAAATGTGATGGTAGAAGGAAAGCACGGACCTTTACGCTGCCGATAGTATACAAATTTACAAAGTTTGGTGTTTTTTCCTCGGAAAAAATTAATTTCATCTATAATGTTGCTAGGACATAATGATATATCATTGGACAATGACGGCAGCTATCGATTAATGGTAATCATAACAATCGTTGATATGTATAGCGATGTACTTTGCGTATACGGTTACGTCTACCCGCTGCGGGTAGATGTAAGATGAGTCACCGACCGGCCGTCGCTGTCGGCCTCTGTCGGTGCGGCGCCAGGGATCGTAAGAGAGAGGTTGAAGACGTGACTCTGTATTTATGTACACGTTTATTATGGCTATGTACAGCTATATACAACTATGGTCAGTCAGGGTATTTTATGGTGGCCCTAAAAAGGGCCGTTTGGCTTCCTCCTCACTTAGAGGGGCTTCGCTCCTTGTAGGTGAGCGGTGGCTGCGTATACGTCCACTTGGTGGAGCGCCGCTTCTCACTTACTCGCTCGCGGTAAGTGAGCGAGGGCTTTGTAGCCGTCCTCTTTTCTGGGCCCCAGTAGTTCGCGTTCTCGTCTCCGGGTTGGCTGGTGGTCTCCCACTCGGATCCAGAGAACGGCTCCTTCTCTCCCGCTGGTGGAGGCGCCGGCAGGTATCGTGGCGAGGTGTACCGGCGTACTCTGAGGTCCCACGGGTGTAGGTAGTACCTCGGTGGCCTAGTCCTGGCAGGCGGCGGAATGTCCAGCGGGTGTAGCTTCCAGGCGGCGAGCTGGAGGGTCACCTTCTTCGCGGCGGTCGCTTGCGGTCCTGGCGGAGCGGCCGGCGGCGTCGGAGGAGGCGTCGACTGTGTCGGCGACCCTGGCGGAGGCTGCGGTGAATGCCCCCTTGGATGTTGCAGTCTTGGTTGGCGCCGGAACAATCCGGTGGCCTCCACCGGCCGGATCCTGGGGGACGTCGCTTGTAATTGGCGGCGGCGCAGGAGCTGCTGGCGCAGACGCTGGATAAGCGAGGTCCCTCGCTGGCGGGTCGGTGGCTGCGACGGCTGCTGCTGCGGAGGCTGTGATGGCTGAGGCCGTGGAGACTGCGCTGGTCGCGGTGACTGCTGCGATTGCGGAGGCTGCGGCGTCTGTCGCGGCGGAGGCTGCGGTGGCTGCTGCGGCGGAGGCTGCGGTGTCTGCTGCGGCGGAGGCTGCGGTGGCTGCTGCGGCGGAGGCTGCGGTGGCTGCTGCGGCGGAGGCTGCGGTGGCTGCTGCTGATGAGGCGGTAGCGACGGTAGCTGTAATTGCCGTGCTTTGTCACGAGCCCGTAGCTGTGGTAAAAACTGCTGGGAGGTATAGCCCTGCATGCCACAGCTCGGTGCCGGTTGATCGGTTCGGCGCCTTATCTATAAGGGTCCTGGACCGATTCTTCGTACGCGATAACATTATCGGCGCTAGCCCTCTGGTGGGCGTACCGTGGTAGTTGCGCGTCGCGCAGCCCTTGCGCGTGGTCGCGTGCTACGGGCGCCTGTATGGTCGAGTGCTACAGGCGCTTGGATGTTCCCACCGAGCGCTTGACGAAAAGTAGCTGCTCGGTGGGTTTTCGTTAGTGCGACTGATAAGAGTCGCCACAATATGTTTACCATCTGTTTAAGCCAGGAACTGTTTATTCGACAAAATATTACTACCCAAAGCACTAAGAATTGATATACATAATGTCTTTTAAATTTAAAACAGTATGCCCTACTTTTGAAATCACCCAACAGTAATAAGTAAAAACATCAAAGATAAAAAACAGCATATCCTTAATACCTATCCAAGTAATTAATTTTTTGGCGTATAACGGTTAATTTAATTAAAAATTTAGAAAATATTAATCATTTTCATGAAATGCGAGATTTGCGTTTTCTACGCTTTAAAAAGAGCTTCTGTTAAAACAATTTTTTTATAAACTACTTTATGGCCTATACTGAACCTTTTAAAACTAAATTACTGAATTAAAAATCATGCTAGACGAAAACATTGGAAATCAAAAATGGGAAATGTGATCTTCAGCCCTGAGCAGGAGTCGAACCCACGACCTTTGAATAGCCGGTTCACTGCTATAGCCTTAATATTGAGCAAACCAATACTTTAATTAGAGGTAATAAATTCGAATTTCTGTACTAAAAATGAAAACGAACCAATAATACGAGAAAAGTAACAAATTGATCAATTAAGGCCCAATTGGAAAACTCCATACCCAGGCTGGTTGAAAGTCGCCGGCCCTGCTCATCAGCCACCCTCTATGGTGGACGGGTCCCTCCTGACTCGGACGAGGCGCTGAGGGATGGCCTGGCGAAGTCATGGAGGTCTCTGTCGAGAACGTGCCTGAGCAAAGAGCAACGACACACAGCATCGGGAGAGTTCTCGAGCCTGAGCTTCTTCTCAGATTCTCGTCGCTGCATCGACTCTTGAGGGTCACCGCTTGGTGTCTTCGCTGGCGCCGCCATAAGAGTGGATTCACCAGCGTGGACTACCATCAATCCACTTTACATCCCGACGAAGTGGAGGAAGCACTTCTGCATTGGATCCGCACAGTGCAGGCGCTGCACTACCCTGAGGAGGTTACCGCCACTGGGAACAATCGCAACTCTTCAAGGCAAAGTCGTTTGAAAGCGCTTGACCCCTATGCAGATGACCGCGGAACGCTAAGGGTTGGAGGACGTCTCAAGCACGCAGCGCTTTCCTTCGACGAGCGACATCCACTCATTGTGCCTCCGACGTCATGGCTCACTCGACTGTTGGTGGAAGCCTACCATCGCGCCGCACGCTTCACGGAGGCGTTCAATTGACCTTGGGGATGCTTCGACTCCGCTTCTGGATTCCTCAGGGTCGAGACGTGGTCAAGCGATGGCTGCATCAGTGTGCAACTTGCGCGCGGTGAAGGGCAGTTACATTGCAGCCTCCAATGGGAAATTTGCCTCCAGGAAGAATAACTCCAACGCGCCCGTTTCCTCAAGTCGGCATCGGTTACGCGGGGCCTGTTTTCATTAGAACAACTAAAGGGCGCAGTCACAAAGCACACAAGGCATTATTGCAATCTTTGTGTGTTTCTGCTCCAAGGCGGTTCACATCGAAGTAGTCTTAGACTACACGGCTGAAGCCTTCCTGGCTGCACTTCGCCGTTTTTCATCGCGCCGAGGCCTCTGCTCCGACATTTATTCAGATTGTGGCACAAATTTTTTAGGAGCAGACAGACAGCTGAGACAACTTCTTCGGGCCTCCTCGTTAGATGGACGTTGCATCGCTCACTCCGCCGCGGACGGAATTCGGTGGCATTTTAACCCACCTTCCGCGCCTCATTTCGGAGGCCTCTGGGAGACGGCCGTGAAATCCACAAAGTACCATTTGCGAAGAGTCATAGGCGATTCTAGGCTAACCTTCGAGGAGATAAGTACACTTCTCGCTCAAGTGGAAGCGTGCCTAAATTCCCGGCCTATGTACGCACTCTCTGACGACCCGGAGGACATTAACGCCCTGACACCGGGACATCTACTCATCGGTGCACCACTGCTGGCAATCCCCGAGCCCTCATTGACAGAAAGAAAGGACAGCTCACTTACAAGATGGCAACTCATTCAAAAAATGCGTGATCACTTCTGGCAAAGATGGTCCCGTGAGTACCTTCACACCCTGGCTTCCAAACCGACGTGGACTGTTTGCGTATCTATAGTGTTTTGTACATTTTTATTAGCTACTTTTAATATCAAAGATCCCGCTCTTTGTTGCGTGCAGCGCCTATCAGTTTTTCCGTGCTAAGTTTAGTTTTGCGGCGCTCCGACAGCGCTTTATCCCCTCTACTCTCTTGACTTGCGCACTGCGAGAGTGAACGTTACTGTCTGTACAAGTTTTAACCGAGCATTACCGATTTCATAAGTTTTGTATCTGTCTGGCTGTAATAAAGAACAGAGTTATTTTGTACAAGTGTCCGTTGGCATTGCGAGACATTTCCTTGCACACATAACGGCGCAAACATTTTTGGTCCTTCGAGCCGGATATAGGCAGAGGATACAGAGCTGTCGTTGAGAAAAGGCCCTTTGTCCGGCATCAACTTGCACTACATCAAGGCGTCGGAAAAGGCCAGCCATCTTTTTCTTATTTTCACGTGCGTGCTCGTGGATGGATATAAGCTGCATCTTATAGCATTCGTGAGAGATACAAAGTCATTATCAAGTGCGTTCAGAGACGGCGGCGTTACGAAGTGCGCTTTAACCTAAAATTTGCAATTAGCGCGCAAGGCGTAAAATCGTGAAAGCCATGCAAAACGTACAGGAGGAACTTAAGGCATTAAAGCAACGCCGTACGACACTAAAGTCGCAGTGCACGAGGTTTCAGACATATGTGGAGGCTGTGGACATTCAGAGCGTTTCCATCATAGAGCTGCGTGCTCGTTTACAAAGGTTCACACCATGTTGGAATGAGTTCAACGGAATTCAAGGTAGGATCGAAGCGTTAGATAATAGCGATCAAAGTGAGATGAATCATGAGGAGGAAAGAGAATCATTCGAAGGTAAATATTTCATAATTATTACTAAATTGGAGATGCTCATAGAGCAAAGACATAGAATGGATCAACCTAATGGCTCGTTTCATAATCTCCCTCACGCAAGAGAGAGTACGCCATTAACGCAAGGAACGATTTCCGCAAATGATTCTTTGAAGTTGCCTCGTATAACCTTACCTACATTTTCAGGCAAATATGACGAGTAGACAGCATTCCGTAACATGTTCCACAGTATGATTCATCAGAATGCTGCACTGCCAGATGTTCAAAAGATGCAGTATTTGGTATCGGCGCTAAAAGACGAGGCGTATGACGTAATTTCGTCACTCGAACCTTCCGCAGAAAATTACAGGGAAGCGTGGCAAATGCTCAATGAGAGATATGACGATCCTAGTTTGATAATCAGTAAGCATGTAAAGGCGTTGTTTGATCTTCCGCATATGAGTAAAGATAATCATGTTGTCTTGAGAAAGCTTTTGGATACGGTGGTAAAGCACATACGAGCGCTTAAGGCGTTGAAGAGGCCAATAGAGCATTGGGACGACCTAATGTTACATATAGTTACAACTCGGTTAGATTACGCAACTGCCAGAGAATGGGAAACTACCATAGATAGAGGTAGTATTCCCTCTTTCAAACAGCCATAACATTTTTAACTCAACGTTGCAGAGCATTGGAAGCATCATCAAGAGATCAGCATTCAAAGATATCGAGTGAAAAATCATCGCAAAATAAAAAGATTGCAGCACACGTAGTTACCACGAAGAACAGCTGTGCGTATTGCCACCTGGAAAATCATAGTATTTACAAATGTAAAGATTTCTTAGCGCTTCAGGTGGATCAGCGAATAATGGACGCAAAGACTCGCAAGATGTGCCTTAATTGTTTGAAGAGCGCATCACATCAAGCCAAAGATTGCTCAGCCGGTGAATGTCGTAAGTGCAGCAAACAACATTGTTGCATTTTGAACAAGCTGTCAAAAGCGTATCGGAAGCAGGTACAAAGCCTAGCGAATCTAACGAAGAAAATTCGAAAACGGCTAGCATAAGCTGTACATCAGTGAAGGAAGCACAACAGGTTTTATTAGCAACAGCGATAATCAATGTGCAGGACGCTACAGGAAAAATTAAATCCGTCAGAGCCTTACTCGACAATGGTTCACAGTCGTGCTTTATTACAGGTAACTGTTGTAAGGAGATGGGGCTTAAACTACAATCAATCAATGTGCCGATTTACGGATTGGCTCAGCAGCAGACTCAAGTCAGAAATTCAGCAAAAGTAACGATACAATCTAGAATCACTGGGTTTAAGAGGACATTAGATTGCTTGGTGGTCGAGAAAATTACCCAGGATCTACCTTGCAGTATGGTGGATAGAGCGGGCTTACACATTCCGAAGAACATTCCACTTGCGGACCCGCAATTCGATAAACCGTCGAGCATCGACATGCTGCTAAGAGCGGAAATTTTTTTTGAGCTATTGGTCGTCGGAACGATTAAATCAGTAAAAAAACCAGCCAACGTGGCAGAACACTCTCTTGGGGATCATTTCAGGAAATTGCACCAGTGCTAGCCAGCTATCCAAGGGATCTGTCTGCAGTATATCCACAACTGATCCGTTGAATAAAGCTCTCACAAAATTTTGGCAAATTGAAAGTTGCGAGAGAAAAGATACACGAACTCCTGAGGAGCGCTCTTGTGAGGACCACTTCATGAAAACTCACAAAAGGGATCAACATGGGAGATTCGTCGTTTCGCTTCCAGTCAAAGAGCATATGATGAAACGTTTAGGGAATTTGAAAGAAATCGCGATCCAGAGATTTAAGAGTCTGGAGCGACGATTTAAGCGTGACCCACAGCTCAAGGTGGAGTACAGCAAATTTATACACGAATATTTAGCGCTTAGACACATGCGTGAGTTCACTAATTCAGTCGACAACCTTTGGCCACATTTCTACATGCCACATTATTGCGTCATAAAGACTGCCAGCAGCACGACCAAGTTGAGAGTCGTTTTTGATGTCTCTTGCAAATCATCAACCGGCATTTTATTAAACGACACCCTGATGTTAGGACCTGTTTTGCAACAAGAATTGATATCCATACTTCTGCGTTTCCGAACGTACAAATACGTTTTGACATCCGACATAGAAAAGATGTATCGGCAGATCAAGGTGGATGCTGAACAAACATCATTACAAAGAATAGTATGGAGGAACGATCCATCCGAAAACATTAAGACTTATGAATTGTTGACGCTAACTTATGGGACTGTGCCAGCGTCATTTATAGCAACAAAGGTCATTCAACAATTGGCGGATCTCGAGGCTCACAAATTTCCAAAGGGTGCGGCTGCGGCATACAAAGATTTCTACGTCGACGACTTTATATCAGGAGCATTGACACATTGACAGAAACAATGGAAATACGCAATCAGATATCTGCATTGCTTGAAGCAGGAGGCTTCAGGCTACGGAAGTGGGCTTCCAATAGCGCTAGTTTACTCGACGAGATGCAAGACACGTCATCAGACAATCGACTACTCGAGTTGGACAAATTTGGATCAGCCAAGACTCTAGGTATTAATTGGAATCCTGCCAAGGATGCATTTCAGTACAGATTTCAGGCTGAAAAGTCGCTTCCAAAGACGTACACCAAAAGAATAGTTCTATCACAAATTGTACAGATCTTTGATCCCCTAGGATTGCTCGGGCGAGTGATCACGAAGGCGAAGATCTTGATGCAAACTATTTGGAGAAGCAATTTAGATTGGGATAAGCCATTACCTCCAAAAATCAATGCGGAATGGGCTCAATTCATTCAGGACTTGTTGAAGGTTAACAAGATTGAGATACCTCGCAGAGTCACAACCAACTTCGCAGAAGGGAACACGCGTGTAGAGATTCACGGATTTTCGGACGCTAGTGAACGCGCCTACGGCGCCTGTATATATCTTCGCAGTTTTAACGCGTGCGGAGCCGTCGAAGTACATTTGCTATGCTCTAAATCACGCGTATCTCCAATAAAAGTATTATCAACACCACGGCTGGAGTTGTGCGGCGCACAGCTCTTGGTCCACCTAACAGAAAAAGTCAAGAAATCTTTAGAAATCCCTATTTGCAACGAGTATTATTGGACCGACTCATCAATAGTCTTATACTGGATTAAGGCTACTAACAAGAAGTTGCCGGTCTTTGTAGCTCATAGAGTGGGCGATATTCAAGATTCAACAGCAATCGAAGATTGGAGACATGTTCAAGGTAAATCAAATCCAGCAGATTTGATTTCGCGCGGGGCGAGCATCCAGGAATCCTTAGAGTCGCAAATTTGGTGGAATGGGCCTCAATGGTTACATCAACAGCACTTGCCAGAGGAACAGCACAAGCAAATAGATTATGATGAAAGTCAATTAGAAGACCGTGACAAATCGAAAGTAGTGGCTGTATCAGCCTGCAGCGCCACGAGTCCGTTTGAAAAATACAGCAATTTTAATAGAAGAATTCGTATCGCGGCCACATGTTTACGTTTTCTGTATAATTGTAAGAAAGAAAAAGCATATGGTCCATTAACAGCAAGCGAACTAGAAAGAGCAGAGAAGAGCTTAGTGAGAAGAGAGCAAGAGATTGTATTCTACAAAGAGATCAATAGGCTCAAAAGAGGCAAGACAATTTTGCAACAGAGTTATCTAAAATATTTAAATCCATTTTTGGATGAGGATCAGCTGTTAAGAGTTGGAGGCAGATTAAGGCACGCACAATTATCATCGGATATCAAACATCCAATATTATTGCCTTATCATTCCAGGTTTACAGAGATCATCATAGAGCACGAGCATTTGAGGAACTTGCATGCCGGAGCAGACGCAACATTGGCTGCTGTTCGCCAAAAATATTGGCCGATCAAGGCGCACGGTACAGTCCGCAGATTATTGCGAGGTTGTATAAAATGTTTCAGGTCGAAGCCGCGATTTTCGGAGCAATTGATGGGGGACCTACCGATGCAGAGAGTTACGTTATCAAGGCCATTCAATAGCACAGGAGTAGATTATTGCGGGCCGATCTACATTCGTGAAAGTTCGCGGAGAAACAGTAAACGTCTCAAGACTTTCGTAGCGGTATTTGTGTGTATGGCAACAAAGGCTGCACATTTAGAAGTAGTATCTAACTTGACAACGGATGCATTTCTTAATGCGTTCAAGCGATTCATCGCTCGCAGAGGTAAGCCTGCAAATGTTTTCTCGGATAATGGAACTATTTTTACAGGAGCCAATCGTGAATTAGAAGAGCTCAGAGCTCTATGTAGTCAGGAGGAGCATCAGCTTAAAATTATAAATGAAGCAGCCAAGGAAAGAATCAACTGGCACTTCATACCTCCACGTACACCACATTTTGGCGGTTTGTGGGAGGCTACCGTGAAGGTGTTCAAAAGGCATTTCTATAAAATAGTTGGGGAAACGCCACTGACTTTCGAAGAAGCATCAACATTTACATCACAAGTGGAGGCTATTCTTAATTCGAGGTCGTTAACAGCTATGTCATCGGACCCTAATGACATGAGCTACATTTCTGCAGGGCACTTTCTTATTGGCGACACTCTGACGTCATATCCAGAACCTAATATCATGCAAATACAAACTAATCGTTTAACGAGATGGCAGCATCTAGAGCAGATGCGACAGCATTTTTGGAAGCGTTGGTCGAACGATTATTTGCTTCAGTTACAGCATCGTATAAAATGGTGTGCTAATCATGGACCCTCCATTCAAATCGGTCAGCTAGTCATTTGTCGTGAGGATGGTACTCCACCCTTGAAATGGGTACTTGGCAGAATTTTAGAAATATTCCCGGGAGAAGATAACATTGTGAGGGCAGCGACTGTCAAAACCGCAACCGGTTCTTATAAGAGACCAGCTTCCAAACTTGCTGTTTTGCCGATTGAAGAAAAGCTTAATGCGTTTAATAATTAACATTGTTATAATTCTATTTTAAAGCGTTTTATGAAATGTTATTACAATGTACTTGAATCTCATGTTCTGTAAGTCAAATGGGAATCTGAGCATTATTTCTTTGGTTTTTTTTTTTTATTTCGATAGGCTCTATCAAGGCGCGCGGTATGTTTGCGTATCTATAGCGTTTTGTACATTTTTATTAGCTACTTTTAATATCAAAGATCCCGCTCTTTGTTGCGTGCAGCGCCTATCAGTTTTTTCGTGCTAAGTTTAGTTTTGCGGCGCTCCGACAGCGCTTTATCCCCTCTACTCTCTTGACTTGCACACTGCGAGAGTGAACGTTACTGTTTGTACAAGTTTTAACCGAGCATTACCGATTTCATAAGTTTTGTATCTGTCTGGCTGTAATAAAGAACAGAGTTATTTTGTACAAGTGTCCGTTGGCATTGCGAGACATTTCCTTGCACACATAACGGCACAAACATGGACCAAAGGAGTGGCACCAACGCAAATCGGATCACTGTGTCTCGTCCGCTCCGAAATCACCCCTTCGAGCAAGTGGCCCTTGGCACGGATCACTCAGCTGCATCCCGGGGACGACAGCGTGGTGCGCGTGGTGACAGTCCGTACCGCTACCTCCGAGCTCGTGCGCCCGTTAATTACAATTGTACTCCTACCGGGGGAGGTGGACGCGGAAATCCGCTCACAAAAGCGTAGACGGGGAAGATTTTTTTGCCTTGTTTGTATCGCTATATTTCATTTTAAACTTCTCTATTTTTAAAAACAACTAAAATAATGATATTAAAATTACGGTATTAAAACAAGCCAACAAATTAAATGATGACAATTTTTATTAAAATATTCTATAATTAAAATGAGAAACGTTTCAACTTATACATAAGTCCTCTTCAGTCTCCTTTATAAATGATACATAACAAAATACACGAAGTACGGTTAATCTTTCAAAATATAGTCCATCGAGTCAGCAAGTAAAATGAATATTGTTTCTCAATCCGAACAAAGAAAATTATCCGCATCGTAATTCTAAATCCATATTACTATATATTAGGAAACAATTTTAAAATTATAAATTAAAATGGAACTATTAAACTTACGGCAAATTAGATGCTATGTATAATTTTCATCCTTCAAGTGAAACAATGTAAAGTGGAAAATGGTCTGTACTGAACGACAGTTGTCACAAGAATAAAAGAAAACAAACTTTTATGTTTGACATAACGTATAATGTATATATATTATTCTGAGGGTGATGACCTAAGCAAATGATCATAAGTTTTGTCTAATTTTTCAGTATCTTTTTGTGCGTTAATTCCATTTTTCTGTTCTTTGATGAATAACATCTCAGAAATCAATCTTTTATTATAATGAGATTCAACGTCCATAATACGTATATTATTCCAATCAAAGGTATGTCCAAATCGATTGCAATGTTCCGATAAAACTGAAAGTCTTGCTGGATTTCTTTCAATATTATATTTATGTTCTTTTATTCTCGTGATCAATTTCCTTTTCGTTTGTCCTACATATGACGCATCGCAATGATTACAATCTACTTTGTAAACTACATTATTCTTTTGTATCTTTTCTGTGCTGTCTTTATGAACTTTAATAATTTTATTAAGTTTATTGATGCTTCTAATTCCTATGGTAAATACATCTTTGTTTAAGCTACCAGTAATAGAATTCGTAACTTTCTGAATATAAGGTAATACAAAAAGTTTCTTATTGAGAGGTTTACAATGTGTAATTTGGTTTTTATTTTGTGATGTATGTAATTTATAATTTAATAAATGATCAATTCTTTTTTGTATTTTACTGAATATAAGATGTAAGGGATAATTGTTATTTAATAATGTAGTGATACAAAACTCAATGTTCTTAATATGAAATTCTGGATTAGACAGCAATAATGCTCTATCAACCATGCCATAAATAACACCTATTTTATGTGCTAAAGGATGATTTGAGAAAAATGATGATTCTCTATTTTTTTTCGTTCCTTTTCTTTCTTTTGTCATTTGCTTCTGTAATCGTTTTGTACTCGCGATCTCTATATCGTCACAGCGTCGTATACTTAAATTAATTGTAGTGTCACATACGTTCGGATTTTTCTCATTAGGTCATGATCAGTATAATAAAATTCGTTATGGTGATTTGCACATGTAAATTTGTAATACCGCTGAGTTATATTGTGACATTGTAATCATTTTCGACCAAAGCCTGCGAAACCTTTCGTTTGTATCTCTGCGCGTGTCGTCACGATGACGAGGCGGGCGGGAATGTTTGAGATCGTGAGAGTGATAGTTCAACGCAGTAATGCGAGAAATAAAATCAATGCGTTTAAATTTCAGGTTTTAAAGACGATGATAATAATTGTCGTTGATTTCGCGTGTGTAGAATGAACATATTCTCGATATTCTTATGTTATAAGACAACCTTCACTAGGTTTTCCTTTGTTGTCTGTAACTAGAGGAAGATTTGTTTTATACACGCATCGCGTCAGCTGTTAACGGCCGGTCGATTGGCAACGAGCGGTGATTTCGCGCGAGCGCACCGCTAAAGGAAACGTCATGCACGGCCACGAATCACGTCGAGGAGATTTCGGTCGTGCATGACTAATACCATTCTCGCAAGGAGAGAGGACTCGAATTGCCAATCGCTCTTGTCAGCTCGATGTCACCTCTGGCTTTTAAATTTTGGCAATTTCAATTGGCAGCAATCTCTGAGAGTCTTTGTCTTGAGAAATGATGCATGCGCTAACGAACTTTCCGACTCACTTCTTGTCCTTTCTTTAAAAGCGTAACACCGCCGAGAAAATCGCCGAGAAAACCGTCGCGCCGTTTTGAAAATCATAAGCATAAATTTAAGCAACTCAGCTTATATTAGTAGTATTATTTAAGATAAAGTCTTGTATTCTTCTTTCGCTTACTTGTACAATAATAAGACTATTAAATTGTTATTTGTGGACGTACAGAAATACTTATTAATTATTTGTGCCGTCTAGAACCGTTAGAGTGCTCGTGCACTGGAATTTAAAATCGTGGTGCGCTCTCGTCCATTTTCTGGTTATATTATCGGGAGTGGACGTATAACCATCCATTAATATTTCGAGAATATTATATAATATTATATAATTTTAGTAAAATATTATTAAAATGTTACATTTAATATTCTAAGAATATGCCTAAAATATTATTTAATATTAAATAATATTATGCGCTTATAGGGTATACGTTAAATACGATATTGACGGATTGTCGGGGGAAGCAGTTATGCACATTGGGGTCCCAGCACGCCGCGTTCGGCTTGATTCGGCTAAGAGAGCGCAACAGCACGACTGTTCTTCTTCAGCCTTCGACGCATGCGCACTAGCCGAGCGCGAGCGAGATGGCAGACGCTACGTCACGATCGGACCCTCTCGCTCGTCCGCTTGTCGCGAGCGGCTGAAAATGTTTCTCGGCCGGCTCGGCCGGCTCGGCCGGCTCGGCTACCGATATAAGGGATAAAAGGACGTTCCATATAACATATATGTTTAAATAAATTTTTGGAATCGTATACCTTTCCCATTAATCCACAATGGCATAAATTATGTCAAAATGCGATAGTTTACGAGATATTAATTGTTTACAATTTCCCATGCGAGTAATATACCTCGTTTATAAGAACGATTTATAAGTACTCTACATGGTCGAGCGCGTCTAGGTGCAAGTCTAGAATGCTGGAGATCTTATGTTCAAACCTTTTAATTTTTTCCTTCTATTTTTTTTGTCTAAAATAAGTACAGTTATTAGTATATAAACATATTAAGCCAAATATACTTGTAGAGATGACAAAAAGTCGGCAACGGTCAAATATCTTGGAAAATAATGATTATGGAAAAAAATGTTCAATACAAAAGTTTTAGTATATCAAGTGATCCATTATACGATTATATTGAAATGACTTTCCTGTGACCTTGAAGGACACCATGAAGGTCAACTTTGAAATCTTAAATGGAAACACCTATTTTCTATTAGATATTCTTAAAGCTGGTTTCAAGACGTTTCCGAAACATTGGTTACAAACCCTTTTTGCTTGAGATCTTCCTGAGTTATGAACCTTCAAAGTTTAAGTATCGCCGGCGCGTTATCTAAGGTGTACCGCGTGAGAGAGAGAAGGTGGCACGGTCGGATATCCACCTCTTATGCCCATTTCCACCAATGCAGATTAATTTTAATCTTGGTTTAATTTGCTCTTCATCTTTTTCTAATTTTTAGAATTAGAAAAATAAAATTTTATTTTTTAATTTTATTTTTCTGATCTAATTTTCTAATAAAATTAAAAAATAAAATTTTATTTTTCTAATTCTAAAAATTAGAAAAAGATAAAGAGCAAATTAAACCAAGATTAAAATTAATCTGCATTGGTGGAAATGGGCATAAGAGGTGGATATCCGACCGTGCCACCTTCTCTCTCTCACGCGGTACACCTTAGATAACGCGCCGGCGATACTTAAACTTTGAAGATTCATAACTCAGGAAGATCTCAAGCAAAAAGGGTTTGTAACCAATGTTTCGGAAACGTCTTGAAACCAGCTTTAAGAATATCTAATAGAAAATAGGTGTTTCCATCTAAGATTTCAAAGTTGACCTTCATGGTGTCCTTCAAGTTCACAGGAAAGTCATTTCAATATAATCGTATAATGGATCACTTGATATACTAAAACTTTTGTATTGAACATTTTTTTCCATAATCATTATTTTCCAAGATATTTGACCGTTGCCGACTTTTTGTCATCTCTACAAGTATATTTGGCTTAATATGTTTATATACTAATAACTGTACTTATTTTAGACAAAAAAAATAGAAGGAAAAAATTAAAAGGTTTGAACATAAGATCTCCAGCATTCTAGACTTGCACCTAGACGCGCTCGACCATGTAGAGTACTTATAAATCGTTCTTATAAACGAGGTATATTACTCGCATGGGAAATTGTAAACAATTAATATCTCGTAAA